ACCTCCCAGTGACACCATGTTCATCTGTAATCTACCGTCATAACCACAAAGCTCTCCCAGAACACAACCGCCTTCCTCACTGGAAATAATGTATATAATGCAGCTGTTGAAGTGATTGAATTCAGTGCACTCAGACAGGGAGAGGTCACTCTGAGCCTCGCTGCAGCATCAGGATACACTCTATACACGGAGAGACATGGAGGGAATAAAGGGGGAGAAGGGAGAAGCGGGAAGAGGGAGTGGAGAGAGGTCACTTTGAGAAGCTGGATGCATGCACATGCCAAACAGCGTCTCTGGATCTCGCTCTCTTTCGTTAATCCCCTCTCTGATCCACCGATGCTCGGGCCAATCATTTGAGGCCGGCCGCAACCCGTGATCACTGGGCCCTAATCTGAGTCCCCGGCCCGTCCGCAGTCCACCTCAAACAGCACCGGCCGGGTGCCAGCAGAGGAGTGGCAGGCTTAGCCTTCTCCAGAGAGACAGCTAGAGGTTGTCTCTACATGGATGGACACTTCGCAGCTCGGCAGGGGCGGGAGGAAGGGGCAACATAGCAGCTGCTCGGGGCATATGGGCAGAATTCATTAAGTCTAGCTAAATAAGCCAAATGTGGAGGCGGTAAAAAAAAAGGGTGCATTTGTATATATGATAGAGAAACAGAAACTGAGATCACACACTGAATTTGAGCCCTGAGATCAAATATTCTGAGCACAAATACCCCTGCGTTATTCCTGAGGTAGCGCACTTGATGAAGTTGATTCAAGGCGCACCGAATGAAAAAAATCTGGATCTATTTGTGATGGGAAGTGATTGAGCTGTTAGATGCATAGAACTCGTGTCCTTGAGGACTTTGCTGTGCATCCCCAAATGCCATGAGACTGCTGCCTGCCTCAGAAATAAACCTAATCACAATCTGTAAATGTTACAGCTGTTTCCCTAATAGACCTGGCCGGACTTTGGAGGCCTGCTCTTAAATTCACACACATGAACCAAAGACGAAACTGAATGCTGATACATGAGGGCAGCATGCGTTACAGGCATGGTAAACAATATATTTCATAAATTAGGTCAGATTTTGTTCCAGTGTGTGAGATGCAATGTTTGTACTTCACAGTTTTTACATTGTTTCTGTTCTTTCACTTTAAAGAACACATACCTGACACCAGCAGTTGTCTTCTACCAGACTCAAAGCCATTCTTCTTTATCCAAAAGGTATAATGTATGCTAATCCCCCAGGTGTCAATAGGAAACTCTGTTCAATGCATTTGAGATAATAGTGAAGAAGGGGTTGTCTCCTATCGAAGAGCTGGAAGATAAAGTCAATGGCACAGTCAATAACAATAAGGTTGTGGGCTTTAATGAGGAATGTTAATTTGAACACAATCAACTGGATTTCAGCTTAGCTGATTATCAACCTTGGACTTGTATGAGGTTGTTGATAATGGAGACAGTACAGGGAGGGCATTTTTATCTATGACAGCTAGATTCAGAGGCTTTAAACACAAGCAGTTTGCCTTTTAGCTGTTTAAGTTAAAAAGTAACAAACAAAACAAAGAAGAAATTCAAAAACCTAAATAAAGACAGGATCAACACGGCACTGTTCACTACACAGTGAACTTTATTTAGGAAAATACAAGAAATGCTGTGTATACACTTTACAGAATATATATCCTGGATAACAAACAGTAATTACAGTTAATATAACCAAAGTCACTGGCCCTTCTGTGTAATGGACATTCACCCAGTTCCCACTGGAGCCATTCAAAGTCCAAACCTCCTCTCCTCATGTTACAGGCAACGCAGCCTGCTCCTCATTCTCTCCTTGATCCCATTCCATCAGCAGCTCTGAGGACACCTCTGTAAACAGATGATCCCAGTCCCAGCTCACATCATCCTGCAGCGTAACACAGAGACAAGAGAGGGAGGAGAAGAAGAAGAATTAAGAGGCAGGAGGAGACATAACAAGAAAGAGAGCATGGGGAACGCAGGGAGCAAAGAGAGGAGAATCGGGGAAGGAGAGCAGAGGGTGTTAATGTACACATCATAAATCTTGATTACCTGGGAGACAGAGTGGCAACCTCCCCTGGTGCTCTAGAAACAGCTGGACAGGCCTTTGCTGGGAGCTCACAAGCTATATTTACTAAAAACTCACTCACCTCTTTCACCTCCTGCTCTGGTGCTAAAACCTTGGTGAGGAGCTTCAAGTCGATCTCTCCGTCCTGAAGAAAGAGTGCAGTAAAAATGTACTTATCTTGCACAATCAGGGGTGAAATATTAAATGAACCACCTTGACGAAAAGAGACATGAACATATCAGGAATATATTTAAAAAGAAATTCTTGACTTACTAGGGTCTGAAAGGCAGAGTAATACTTCAGATCGTTGTCCAGATCTCTGTAGGTCATTACACGGTTCACCTGAACGCTAACAAGATGACAGAAAATCAGAATAGGCCTCTGATACACAGATAGACTTGTATTATAATCAATACAGCACATCACAGAAGAGTAGCAGCCACCTCAACTGCAGTGCCTCAGCAAACCAAGAGAAGTGGAGGTGGAGAAGTTTGGAGTTTGTGCACATTGAGGCTCTAAGACCACAGAGAGCAGGAGATGGTTGCCAAGTGGTAAACGCTTCAAATTGAAACCCAGCTGCTTATCTGTGGGTTGGAATTAAGTGTGGGGGGGGCTCTCAAAGTGGCCGGGGCCTAGCAGTGCATGCCAGTCCTACTTACTGCACATTACACGCTACATTGCCCCCACAATGAGTTCAATGTGGATATTATCTCGCACAGAGAGCAAGCCCCAGCCTAATAACCTCCACCGCTGTCATAGCCTTGCTACATATTCGACACATGTCGGCGTGTCTCTCACTGCCCTGTAAATCAAAGGGCCCAGTTAGTAAGGACCCAGGTAACGGAGTTGCATAAATCACACCCAACTGTTATTTCTCCATTTCAGCCGATAAAGCGAGACTCTGCAATGACACGAGTGGAGGACAGGTAACCATCGAAGTCACCAGAGCGAGCGACTGATCTGCCCTGTGCACCGACAGAGGTCAAATGTCTCACACACACACGACACGGGGGACATGTGTATGTGTGTGTGTGTGTGTGTGTGTGTGTGTGTGTGTGTGTGTGTGTGTGTGTGACTCCTGAGGGATAAAGGACCACCGAGTTTAAGTTGTACACTACCTTGGTGGAGCTGCAACTTGCATGGTGAGGTCTTCTTCCTGTACTTCTTCAAGATCTGGAATCACTGGAATATCTAAAAAACAAAACAAAAACAGAGACCACAACTATTTAAAGATGATCCGATTACATCTTAATTTATGTCAAAATTTGCGAAAATCCTAGAATCATTTATTAAGAAATACAGTAAATCTCCATATATGGCTTCTAGAAAGACATCTTTTTTGCGTGAGTATGTTTATGTGAGACCATATCTGCATGGCACTCTCTCCCCTCCCTCTCTGGCTACATCCTCACAAGAGCTGCCCTGTCACAATAGCCATGCGGCCATGAATATTCAGGAGGTGAGGCGGCAGCTCCTCCTGCTGTGAGAGGGCCGCTGGCCAGGGGCTCCCCAGAAAGCACCCCCTGCTACCTTAGCATTTGGGCCCTGTCAGCGCCGCCCACCTCCAGGACCTGCAGTGGCCGGTGGGCCGACCTCCATGTCCACTCTGCCACTCCGACTGGGGCGGCATCCAGCAATGTGCAAGAGTATTTGCTTGTGGGCCCATCTGTGTGGGGTCGGAAGTCACAGTGCGGCCTGGCAGGGGCTGTTGTGCCAGGAGCCGCCAGCCCGCTGCTCAAACAGTGGGAACCCACTTTAATTGGCAAAACGCAACAGGACAGAGGATGGCTCCACTCCCAAGAAGGACAGGGCAAACTTTCACAGCATTTTTCAGATGTACATTTGCTGTAGCAGGGAAATAAGAGAGGCATGATGAGGAGTGTAGATGAACTGGTTGGAAAAAGAAAAATGATTAATGATAAATAAAGAGACTGATAGAAGTGTGTTCAAAAACTTTGCAGATACATATATTATCAGAAAGATTTTGTATCGCGAAAGAGAAATGAAGGGCTCAACAGTCAGTGGGGAAAAAAGGTTTTCCCAAAAATCTTTCATTTATCATGTCTCAACATAAGAAAAGGAGACAGCAGGGGAGACACCTACCCTAGCACATGGGCAAGGCTGAGGTTGAAAGGGTCAGCTGCTTCAGGGTCGAGGATTCTACTACACTACGTAGGGACACTTTTTTCAAGAAAGCTTTTCAGCTGCTCCATTTCCTGAGAAGACTGGGGACGTTTGGCAATCACCAGCATCCTCATTTACTTCTACAGGTGCAACATCGGGAGCTCGCTGATGGGCCTCATGCACACAGCATCAGGACCACACCAAAACACACACTGTCCTCCATAACATCTGACAGATGACACAGGAGCACGGCCGCATGTATCACCAGACTTCGGGACAGTTTTTAAACCACCGGTCCATCAGGCTTCTCACAACTCATGAATCTAAATATTCCACATGGCATATTTGCTTACCTGCTTGTCAGCACTGCCTCCTGTTTACTGCACTGTTTACTGCACTGCTTACATAAAAAAAGGCAGTCGACCATGACGGCTGTTATTGAACCAGGACTTAAATCCAATAAATCCTCATGTTTTGTGTGTATGTAGTTTTATGTTTCATTTATACCTCAACCCATCTTTATTCATTTCTCTTTTATCTTATATTCTATTTTATATACGGATCATCATTCTATTGCTGAGCTGACTTGTTTTCTCGTTCAACAAATTTAATTGCACTGTTGCACTGTTATTTACGTACAACTAATAAAACTGAAACTGAATTCATATAAAACATTTTTGTGTAGTACAGTTAGAAAAAAACTTAGAGAAACTGGGTGTGATGAGTGTTTCCTGTACAATGTTTTCTCTGGGAGGCAGCAGACTGCACATCCTTATTAGCTCTACAGCTGAGTGTTGACAGTGACACAGACAGAGAGAAGGGGGGAGAGGAAGCAAACAAAGAGAGAGGAACAGACAGATAGTGAGAGGAAAAAGGGAGCTGGACTGCATGGAGAGGGTTGTCAGTAATCTCTAACCACAGTACTGCACCCCGAGGGGAAAGTCAATAGAGGAGCTAAATAGAGGTGAAGAGATGGAAGTCTGCATCTGATGTGGGGGAAATATCTCAGCATCTGTGTCACCATTCCTTCAAAATAACTCCTGAAAATAGCGAGTTGAAGAAATATATCGATCATTGATGGGACGGTGAATTTCTATAGTCTGTGACAGTTAGTGTCGAGAAATTAATTAGATTCTAAACATGTTTGTCAAACAGACGAAGACTTGGTCAAAACCGAACCCAGAAACTTTCCACAGATAACGAAACCTCACCCTGTGTTGATAACTTATTTCTTTCTCTTTTTTAATTAAACCAAATTAAAAATGCCACACTCGTTTAGCCGCTGACAAGATTCATCTGTGTTTCTGATATCCAAATAAATGCAGGCGCGGGTATTTCATATTCATGAGGCCCCGGTGACACTTTGTCCTCTCATTTACAAAGCACAGCGTTCAGCAGAATCTGTCCCCCCTGGACCCCCAATCAAATTTAATGGTCTTAGTGCAATGACATCAAAAAGCCTTGCTGTCCAACTCTTTGCAAACAGCTTCCTGGGTTGTCTATCTGTCCACACACACCCTTTTCCCATTTTAGCGACTAATGCGCTATGAACACACTTGCATGAGTGTTGAGTGTGAAGCGCAGAGGCATATGCTGTCTATATGCAAAGTCTATTATTAAGTGAAAAAAGGAACAAGGTTTTTAAATGAGCTTCAAATTCAACCTATTACTGGAGGTCAAGCAGGGCATCAAAGCAGCTGCAAACAAGCCGCTGTTTTCTTCTGATGCAAAGGGCAACTCGATCAGGACGAGACGTCTCTCCTCAGCACGGCTCACATCACCTACTCTGACTTCCTTCCCTCAGCTGGACATGTATCAATGTGGATTTTGTCTGGCAGCGAGCGGGCCACACGTACCCTTATTACACGGTTGCGTCCGGCCTCCTCGCTGAAGCATGTAAATATCAAAAGGGGATAATTTGCTGTGAATGTAGACATACTCCCAGCAGGCACATGCCAGTCAGCGACTTTGGAGAACAGGACATCACTCTGCATTACTATGCAGCGATCCAGGCAAATGATTACCTCGGAACAGAATCCATTTGAAATGGCTTATGGGACAATATCCAACACATCAGTGACTGACAGTGAGACACTGAGACATGAAACACACGAGTGTTTGCGATACTGGGGCTATTTTAAGTGACCAGCAGGAGGCTGTGGGGGCAGCTGATGGGGAGATGGGAGCAGGGGACTGAGCTCGCCTTCTCTCTCTCTTTCTCCCTCTGTGCTTGTAGCCAGTGGACATAAGGGATAAGGGTAGGGGACATAATCAAGATGGCAGGGGCTATCTCACTAACCGTCAGCACTGTAATTTCCAATGCCCCTGCCTCCGGCTCTGTATTAAGAGGTTTCCCTCCACAGAGTAATAATCTTTCCGGCGGCATTAACTGCAAGAGAACCAAACCTCTGGACACATACATGTAACAGAAGCAGAGTATTAAAAAACAAAACCACAGCGCCCTTCACACTAGACTTTCTGTCTGCAATTCATTGTTATTTATCGTTTTCAGGTTTGTAACACTTTTGAAATAATGTCCCGCTTTCAACAACGCACCAGCAAGAAATAATTAAAAAATCTAATAAAACATGATTCTGTAGCAAGGTAGCGTGAAATGTTTACTCGAGCTGAATGATCATTAAATGTTATAGTTTACAATCTCTCATCTCTAAAAAGGAAAAAGAAGGAAAGTTCAATGAAACACTAAAAAATTATTTGACTTAATTAAAATGAATTATTTGTTGAAAATCTTCTCACATAACTTTGTATGTTTGTTAGTTTATGTGTTGTTTGTTTACAGATTTCCACAAAGCTTGGTGAAAGGATGGGACATGGGCCAACGACGAATCCAATAGATTTTGGTGCTGATCAGGATAAATCTAATTTAATCTAAAATAACATTCATCATCAAATATTTACAAATCAATAATATACGAGATACTGATGTGAGTGAGATTGTTAGATGAACATTTCACGCTGCTAACCCGTCTGTCCTCTGGCTATTTTACCCATTTCTCAGCTGCTTTGCACTGAAAGGTAGAACAGAAAAAAACAGGCAGAGCTTTGCTGGAATTTCCTCCCTCAGTCCTGTAAGAGTTTGTGGTGCACAGAGTTGGGCCCTCAGGTGACTCAGTCAAGGCAACAACCCAAGATCTGTATCCAACTGCACCTGCCTGACTCTGTGTGTGTGTGCATGTGTGTGGTTAACTCTGTCACTCTGGGTGACGAGGGAACACTTGAATCTTCATCAACTATTAACCTGTCTTCATTTAATGCACATAAGAACTTGTCTTTTTCATCAAAGAGGCCATGATCATACAGTGTAACCCACTCTGTGGTCTGAGGCAGAGTTCAAACCCACAAATCCATGTTGGATCCAAAGAGAAATGGAGTTTGAGCATGATCTGACTGCCTGCTTATCTGCTCCACTTCCAGAGGATGAATGTGCCGGGGAGGCAGTGGAGGGCTCCTCTCTACCCGTGAGGAGACACAGAGCGGAGGATTGCAAGGGTGCTCTTACCTCCTTCATCATCTGATCCCTGGGGAGTTTGTGGTTGCAGGCGGCGGCTGTAGAAACAGGAAGTGTGAATTATTTAATGCTTTCAAAAATGGAGCCTGATGGTGAGGTCATCACAGGGAGTGAGTGAGTTGGATCCTGGGCTACTTTACTTTTATGAAGACCGTGGTTTTTTTTTTCTTTCTCTCGTGGTAGACAGGATGCTTGCTCTGTATGCTTTGTTCTGACTGGAGTAGTGGTCTCTGACAAAAAGCACTGACAGTGCAATGAGACTGGACAAGACGACCTCTAGGATTTTTTTTCTAACTAAGACAAGACTTTTCTGAGAGACACAATAAAAGGGATTTTTCTTCAGGGCAAAATCTTTAGTTTCACACAAAAGCCTCTTCCTGACTGCAGCCGTAGAGGCTACTGTGTTTAGTAAAGCACACAGGAGTACGTCCTCTATACCTGCCTCTCCTCTCGGTGATGTGTATTCTAGTCACAGAATGATGCGAGGGAGGGGGATGAAAAAAAAATGGAATAACAGGAAAACTTGGCTCCTAACAGCAATAAAAGTGATGACAACCCAGTCACGCTGTTTTTTTAATCATGTTAAGTGATTGTTCTTGGAAGGCTGGGAATAGATGCAACAAAGGACAAAGTACGCCGCTGTTTCCACTTCACTACAAACATGCAAAATTACCCATTTTTATCCATACACACAAAAATGTAACTGCCGTTGAATTTATTCAGTATCCGCTCTGAGAACACTAAAATATGTATCTTAAGGTGGCTGAGTCAACTTACTCTTCCAGATCCTCAGCTGCAGGTCTTCTTGAAGATCTGTGAATCAGTAGAAACAGCAATTGTTAGACAAATTCAAGACATGACGTTTCCCTTCCGTCAGAATAATGGTTAAGAATAAAACTTCTTCTAATTATAGTAATCCTGCGATATTAGACACAGTGGGGTCGACCACAGTTGTCGACTCTCCTCTGTTTCCTCCACCGTCTCCTGCTGGATCAGGCAGCTATTTTCAGACTTCTCTCCATTTACACAGCTCAGCTTGAACAGAGGATGACAGACACCAAAACACTATGTTTGGACTCTTCTCTACCTCAACACATTATTTTTAGCACACGGTCTGTATTAAGAAATGCAGCAGTCAAGCATTACATCTGAAAAGAAACATATAACCGCATGATTACGTTGCAGCTAATCGCTTCACCGTCATCATCATCAATCATCATATAAGAAACTGATCAAAGCAGAGTAAGTTTTGTCAGTAGACTAAAAATTGTTTTTTTTTAAAGATACTGCATTTCTTTAGTTGATCTCCTGGTTGAGTAGTGCCCCCTACTGGTTATATAGGTAATACATTCAATACTTTCACACAATCTAAAATCAGAGTACAGACATCTAGTATTTATTTAAATTCAACAAATACTTGATTTATATAACATATATATTCATCTAAGTCACAGGTATTTTCCAGTGTTTATTAGATTAACAGCTCAGCTTTATTGTTGGGATCCAAATTTTATGGATACTTGTGACTATGTTCAGGAACTTCTAACAAAATGAATGTAGTGGACACATAAAGGAGTTGATCTGTCTTTTTTTTTAAGTTTTCCCTTTAAGGTTTTTATGCTGTAGATTGTGAATTATTTGTTATAGTTGGCTTCATAAAAAGAAATTGTCTTGACCATCAGAGCCAAGCTGGACATTCATCACCGAAACGATTTTACTGCTTGTGCATAAATACATTCAGTGGGACATATTTCTTAAATAAGAATTTTACTTTCACTAATCTTATAACATAAATTTAACATTTAAATTACAAGATATTTTCTAAGTAGAAAAATTTTAACAACCTTAAATTGTCTTTTGAAGCAGGACAAAAAACAAAAGGACAAAATGATGAAACGCACAATTATCAAACCAATTCTCAGCCAAGAATCTTTTCCCCTGAATTATCTTCCTTATCAATGTCTCCTGGGCCCAGACCAACAGCCTTCGAGGTGTGAGGGTGCAGCAAGGCAAAGAGGAGCTGAGGGAGCCTACCTGCCTGCCCTTGGACTGTGTCCTGTCTGGAGGGCGGGGGTGGCGACACTTAAGACACATTACAGGCCCCTTGATTAAGACTCATGTAAGGCAAAGCGATAGACATGGTAAAACTGTCTTGAAAAAGTTGTTAGGGATAAAATATATTGTGACAACCTGGTTTCAAAGGTTCATCAATAAACTGACAGATCATTTAGTGTCAATTAGTAGTGATAGATCGACAAATCCCGGGATTTCTGCGCTGGGATTAGTGGGAGGAGGATGGCGGTGATTGAGCATGAGGGGTGACATTGAAGGGAAAAGTCCTTGCCGGTTCCAGGGGGGACCATTACTTACTTTGTTTTAGAAAGGATCAATGCACGTGCAAACCCCTTTTACACCTCCTGTATTTCAATCGCTTTGAGACCAGGGTATCAAGCCGGGTTACGTAAATGCAGATAAGCGACACGCTGACCTTCTGTGAGAAAGGAAAGATCTATCGAGTTTGCTATTTTGCAGTTTTCCCTGCGTGCACTACACAAATAAACACAAGTGGCGGGGCCTGTTCACTTCGATGCATCTCCTGTGCTCTCAGCTCCACCGAGACTGAAGACAAGACAAAAACAGTGGCAGGTGGAAGAGAAAACAAAGGAGGTAGTTCTGCAGAGTAATAAGTCTCACCTTCAGTTAGTCTTGTGCAGTATTTAGATTTGTTCGCTGCACACAAAAGCTTTTAGAGAGCAGCTTCCATCTGTTCCAAATATTTCACGAATTCCCCATGTTGTGCTCCCCATGTAAAGAGCAGACCGCAGTGGTAAGGGGTGATTAAGTGGCTTGAACTCCGGTGATGAAGTGGCTAGCTGACTAACAGTGCCCTCCTGTGGCTGATGCATTAACCATGTCAATTACCGCCTTGCTAGCAGATGAAGACGAATGGAGAGTTGCCTGCTCAGACAGGCTCCCTCTAACCTTGTTGATTCACTGCCCGAGTGCCAAATACGCACTGATAAATAAGCTCATTCAACAGCATGAGAGTTCATTAATAACACATAACCCGGGACCACAGCTTGAGGTCCGTGCCTTCAGTTCAGCCACAGGAGATGCGGGGTGGGGGAAACGTGGAGATACGTGGAGATACGTACTTGGCTGATCCAGACCCGGAGCTTTCTTCCGCCCAGCCACCCTGCCGCCGAGCTGGTTTAGGAGGGGGGACCTGGAGGAAGAGAGACCTTTAATAGAAAACAGTTTTATTTGATGTTCACTCACTCAAATACACACCATGTTTGTGAGCTTTTCTAATGTTAGTATACTTGTGTATGTGGAGAATGTTGCTTTAATTTGTGTTACACTTGTTTTAAACAAAATTAACTTGATACAGTGATCTGTTATTATCTGTGTTTTCTGTTTCCTCTCTGTAAGTTGCTTTTTTTATTACTCTATTTCTTGGTAAATGCATGCTAAGGTCTTATTCCGAATGAAAACATTTGAAAAGATAGGCCTATATGAAGATACTAGATGTATAAACAAGAGACATGAGTGAATGACTATTGTTGTGACCTTTTAAAAATGGACATTTGCCAGTAGGGGGCTCTCTTGTCTACCACAGAAAACCAGGACCCAAAGAGGAAAAGCAGACCCCAAAGCTTAATAGCATGAATGCAAAAGGCAACAAGAGTATGTTTAATCATCCTAATAAATATTTAGCTTAAACCAAAGTTCTACTTAAATCTTGAACTCCAATATTTAAGCAACAAGCTTGAAAAAGTTCTTGTACAATAAACAATATGCCTGGTATGTGCAGCACAGTCATCTCTATGAACTCCATTGTTTTTTTATTATAGTTTTCAATACACCAAAACATATGGAGCAGAGCGTGGGAACTGCCGGGGGCCTGTAAGTCTGACCCTTAAATAGATTCAGAGTAAAAAAAAAAGACCCTCTCCCTCTCATTCTTTGATTCTGAAAATAGTAAACTCAGTAAGCATCTCAATCCTGAGACCGGGAGTCTGAGACCAGCACATGAATGAATGAATTCCTCTGGGTGCACAGGGGTGGACACAAGACAAATAAATTAGAAGAAAGAAAGAAGGAAGGAAAAAATAATGCACATTTCTTATTCTTAAATTGAGTCTGCAGAGAACAAAGGGCTTGTGACTTTTTTTTATTTTTTTCCATTTATGATGAAAGAAGAAGTCATCTTTCAGGGCTGCTTCCGTCACCAAAGCCATTACTAAATCTGAATGTCATCATTAAGCAGGGCAGAGGGAGCCCACACTCCTCCGCTCTTTATTACCATTAATCAAAAGAGCTGAGGCCGAACAAGCTCAATTCAATTCGTGCAATTAATAACTGTCTCTTTATTAAAACCAAGAACTGATTACAATAATGACAACTGAGGCTTTTTTGAGCAACTTTGTTGAAATTCCTTTTAGCGATGTAAAATCCCTGGCGTTTAATATTTATATGTATATTTATGACGACAACCGATTTTCACGAGACAAGATAATAAGGTTAAGTGACTTTGAGTGCAATAAATTCATCTGACGTTATTTCACTCAACAAATATGAGAGGGACGATAAGTGTGGTGAGAAAACAAAACAAATGTGTGCCTCCAATTCTGCATGACCAAATATGAACCTCACAGCTGTAGTAAAATAGCTATGGCTGTTAAGGCAATTAGTTTGACCCTTGTGGTTTCTAATTTAGGATTTTCTAATGGTCTCCGGGGCAAGGAACTGATGGTGGCCAAACCCTACGAGCCCATAAAAGCAATTGAATCTTTGTTTAAAAGGATGTCTGGAATGTGACCAATCAGTTGGGTATTTTAGACAGAAAGGCCAGGGTTGATAAACGAAGACTGTAAATAAACCCACCCAGTCACACGACACTCTGGAAAAATGTATTGCATGTGCACAACAGGTCAGAGAGGGCGCGAGAATACTGGTTCATACATTAGGGAAGTTGGCCTAATTTGGGAAGATTAGCCTAAAGCGAGAGCATTGCTGACATTTTTTTGCTTTGGGAATGTTGGCTGGTTTACAGTTTGCCAATCCAGGAGATGTGACTGATTCCATAAATACCAGCTATAGTGAAGTGAGATTATTTGTACTTCAACTGTCACTTCTGCTGCAACTTTTCTCATATGTGTTACACTATATTTAGCCTAAATGTAGCATAAAGAGCTTCACATGAGGATTTGTGAACATTGATGGTAAAGAGTCATCAGCGTGATTAAAATGTATAAGATTTGAATTACAGTATTGTGTGACTCTTGAGTTTTAAAGGTGTTTCAGAGCTTGAATGAAAAAAAGCTTGAAAACACTTCATGCAAGTACTGTACATAAGATCCAATACACACACAGGACTATGAATGAAAAGCTTCTGTGTAAACTTTAAAACTTCCTGAAACAGGAAAACAACAAATCAAATATCTCTGCGTGAATAAGCACTCCATTAAAACTTTATACCATGTGTGTTTAGTTGTGCATGCAGTAAATTTAGAGGTAAAGAATCTCAGTAGGTCTAGATATCAAATCATTAAACCGAGGCAAAGAGTTATGTTAACTCATGTTAATGAATATAGGACTACAGTAAATGATATAAAGTTAATGTCTGGAGTAGCAGCAACAAAAAGCCATGCAAGGTCGCGTTTTTTTCTTGCTACATACCTCGTCTTCATCCTTTGATTAATATATGAGACAAAAACCAAAATGCATATTGATGCTTAGTGTGAGGTGAAATCATAACATGCAACTGTAGGTTATAACAAAGTCACGTACATCTCCCATTGAAGCAGCGGTGGAGGACTTCCTCATGTAGCGAGAATCCTCAAACGAAGACTGATCTGCTGCGAGGCGAGCTCTTCGTCCAGACTTTGCCACCTGGGAAAATTTCAACATGGAAAAGACATTGTGATTTTGCTTAGTGTCACAAGCTCCTACCAAGTAAACGCAGTGAAGCACATCAAATCTGACAGTTATTTCAGTGTAGGTGGAACCTGTGCTTCTATTGATGGTAATGTGGGATCAATAGGATCACACATTTAATCGTGATCAGGAGAGGAGATAAGTTGATCTTAAGACAACAGTGTCACTGGTTTGACAAACAGCTGACAAAGTAGGGAGGAATGGAAGACAAGCACAAACCCTTATAAGGGCCAGTGGAGAGCCTAATGTAGATCTATGCCTAAATAATGTCAATGGAATTGTATTATATTGGTGCAGAAAAGGTTGATAGTCCTGTCCTGAAATTGTGATATCATAAATAGTGTTGCTTCGCGTTGGTTAGGTTTCATTCAAATGTGTTTAACGTGATGATCAACAAATAAAGAAGAGTATCTGAAGCGTATTCCCAGCACAGGGTGACAGCGGTGGTGCAGAGATAAGACAACGAGCCTGATGTGGAGGAAGGTTGTGTTTAGCTGCGCCAGATTATGGAGGTTTCGTGACGGCTTTACGACAGAGATGATCCAGACATTCAGAAAACCACAGGTAACTCTGCATCACCAAAACAAGCACTGAGCTGGGCATGTCGGTAAGTTTCGGCTAGTGGGCTAAATAATATTAGCTTAGTTTATAGCTGGATACTCACAGACAAACATTGTCGTTACCTTTGCTCAATAAGTGAAGAATAACAATGTCTCTTCGGTGCTAACATGCTGCTAAGACCTCACTCCCCGGGCGGCTAATACTGAGGCTCACGTTAGCTTGATAGCTAAGTGGCTAGCACTAGCCTCGCCGCACCGCTGTGGTCTCACCTCCTCATACAGCCCACATTGCTCCTGCTAACCGTGTCCCCGTGTCCGTACTGCACCCCCACTCACATTTTTCACTGCCCCACCGTCTCCAAACTGGAAGTTATCCTCCATGTCTCTCCCCTTAGCTTCGCCTGGCTGTGACCAGCGTCTTCCTGGATATCACCAAGCGTCACGCAGCAACGCTCTCCATGGTAACGCCAATCAGGAAGAGAGAGCGAGTCCCATCCAATAATCACTGTGCAACACAAACAGCTCCGGAGACACGAGGTATTGGCGGATTACTGATGATCGCTGTGTTCCAGTTGATTAGAGATAACGATGGAAGATGCAAGAAAAAGAAATGTGGGGTTTTCTGGTGCACCAGAGTTGTGGGGGCCAACCTGTGGGCCAGGACCCTGCAGGGGTCAAAAGAGCTTCAACTAGGGAACGTCTTAAATCTATTTCCTCTGGATGATCGAATCATCAATATCTAACACTATTAAAATGTATAAATAAAATAACATATCTATAAAAATAAGATGGGTGTCATCCTTTTTGGAGATGCAGCTTTTAGTCACTATAACTATAACTGCCTGGTTGTTTTAGGAATCAATTTCAGTTTTCAAAACCAGGTTGAAACATTTAATATAAACAGGTTTCTTTAACTAAGCTACTTTACAAGGACTTCTTTGTATTTTATTATATTTTGTTTATCATTTGACACAGTACTCTCTATTTTCTCTTTTTAACCTGTTTTGTTTGGGTTGAAATCTGTTTTCAACTGTGCTTTCTGGGTTGAAATAGTTGAAATCTTGTCTGGATGAAACATGCTTTATAAATAAAGCTACATTTCCTTGCCTTTTGGTTGCTCTAACTACAAACTATAGGCCCTGCAGCCCAAAAGGTTGGGAATCACTGCATTAGAGGACATTATAAACCAAACACGGTTTGAGACATGCGGGCTGAGGACAGACATTTGAACTGAAGAAGGACTTCCAGCACAATAACAGTTTAATAATTAAGCCTCTGCCTTGCAGGACAGAAGGGTGTGTGTTGTGTGTAATAGCAGAAAGTTGATGTCATCCAAACAGTCACAGACAAAGTTTGACTTTTATCAAACAAACAACACAGTTCCCACAACTCCCAACATATTTTTTTTGTTTTGCTTTGTAATCTAAAAAGTTGTTTTTCTCCATAACAGAGCTCCTCCATCCACCCACATTATCTCACCCACATAGGTCAATGTCCACAGTCTGAGACAGTGATCGCCCCCACCACCAAATCTGCCCCGGATGTCCGCTAGATGTCCCTGTTGGGCCTGATTTATGTCCCTGTGGAGGCGGTGAGCGGTAGCAGCATGTGGACGATCACAGCAACTGAGTTGAGTTGCTGTGAACGTAAAGGACTCTCTCTGTGAACTTTGTGATCTTATGAAAACTTTATTTTGCATGTTGTCAAAATACTTGTGCACTCATGTACCAAGTGAATAGAACTGGACATCTAAGGGTGCACAGAAAAACAGCGGATTGAATTGTTAACCCTTATTCATAAAAACACATAAAAAATCTTATTTATTATTCGTCTCATTCATCAAAAAAACAAAAGGTGCATTGCAACCAACGCGGTGTTATTCTTTCTTCTTTACGAGAAACACGCTCCCTCTTGCGAAATCGCACATTGCCCAACATTACGCACGCACTTCCAAGATTTGATCCAAGAAACAGCTTTAAAAGAAAACCAAATTCAAGTCATATTAAACGCATTTCAGTGGGTCAGGTCTCAGTGTCCGAGCTGTGACTCGCTGCCCCACCCTCAGTGAAAACGTCACAGCTCTTTGACTATAAAGTGTGAGTGAGAGTGGAAAGAGTCCGTGTGTTTGAGGCTGGACTGCAGAGGAGCGAGCTGCGGAAGAGGCGCACTGACTCCAACAGAACAAGTGGATGGAAAGAGCACGGTGCAATGGAGAAAGTGAAGCACGGTGCAGAGAGCGGTGCCCTGTGAGCTGAAGAAGAGGAAGAAGAGAAAAGATGCTTGCATGAGACAAGGGGGAATGAGCAGTAGGATAAGGAGTTTTGAGGAAGAGTTGAGATTATTGTCCAGAATGGCACGGATTTGCTCCGCTCCAAATGTCGCCAAGATGACATAGCACTTGAGAAAAATGGGATTCCTGCAGGAACAGAACTCACTCACGACCTGAATGAGAAGAGACGAGGGATTCGACTCACATCGGAATTTAGTTTTGTGTTGTTTTTTTTCTTCTTCTTGTACTTGACAAGCCTCGGGTGTGAGTGAAATATGAATCTGGGCGAAGCGTTTCTGTTTTTCCTCCTCTCCAACTGCGTGACAATGACTCTGTCGCTGTCCACTTGCACCACCGTGGACATTGACCACATCAAGAAGAAGAGAGTGGAGGCGGTGCGCGGACAGATCCTCAGTAAACTCCGGCTGACCAGTCCGCCACAAACCACAGGTCCGAGCCAGGTACCGTTTCAGGTCCTGGCCCTTTATAACAGCACCAAGGAGCTCATTGAGGAGCTGGGCAGAGACAGGCACCAGAGTTGTGGACAGGATAATACGGAGACTGAGTACTATGCCAAAGAGATTTACAAGTTCAACATGATCATTGGGCCACCAGAAAACAGTAAGTTAACTGTCTTTACTCGTGTTTATCATGGTGTCTTTTCTGTCACATCCAATACTCATCCAATAAACCACAACCTGTATGTTCCAGATATGAGTGATCACTGGGTGGAGTGTGTGTGACTGACAATATTTTGAATTGTGCCATGCGCCACGCAGCCACCATTTTTAGAATCTATTGAAGCCAAATAAACTCAAAATCATCAACTGGCCACGACATTAAATTATATATAAAAGTGTTGTTTCAGTATAAAAACAAGGATCCACTCGCATCTGTGCCGTCATTACGCACGGACGCCTGCGAGTGTGGAATTGCGCGCAAAGGAAGAGCACAAAGTAAACAGTCTAATTGGAATGAGCACCATTCCTCATACATACCTCACACCAAAGCCATGGGAACTCCAGCTAAAGTCGGACACATTCCTAAGCGAGGAAAATTCTCAGGCAGTTAAGTCCAGTATTTATTGCCAACTCCAATACCTCATTTCCATTTTCTGGCCGTCAGCTTCCTAATATTTTTCATCCACTGTATATACGACTCTCTCACCTCAGTTTCCCTGCTTTCTAGTAGCTGAGTAGCTGCAGCGGCTCAGTGTTATGATCTAATTCCCTTGTTCATCCATATTGGTATTTCCTGTATAAACTATGGTCCATTGATTGTTCCAGAAATCAGAAACAGAAGCCGAGTGCGCAGCAGGCTTCTCCAGGGAAAGTCAGTTTGTAAGTGGAGGAGTTGGATGTGTGCCTTGCTCACGGTCAGAGGTGGGTCAGCGGTTGGTGTTACCCTTTTTTTGAAATCAACAGGTGTTTATGCTGCACTGTGACACTGAGCAGAGCCTCCAGCATGAGTCCTGAATCAAATCCATTTCACAGGTCCCACAAAAGTGCTTCTGACATTCAAAATACACAGCTCGGGGTTTATCCACTGGTCAGAGGCAGCTGGAGCTCCCAAAACAAACAGAGGTCTAAGGAGTGGGATCAGTGATGGCCAGGTGCCCAGGACACATCACGCTGCTCTCGTACAGTAGGCCGCACTGTAGGTGATAATACTAGACATGATCTAGACTTAGAGCTGGCCCCAGAGTATGCACAGCAAAGTGTGAAATTAGTGAAATTAACAGAAAGTGCCAACAATAATTAACACTTTTCTCTCCCTTTCCATGATGTGATGTGAATGAGAGCAGGGCATGTTGCAGTGTAGGAACATAAAGTCTGTCACCTTGATGGTTCTGCAGTGTTGTTCACTCTCATTCCTCCTGGATATAATGACTTTTACATTCACTGTTTTTTGGAAGGTGGGAGTGTTTTGGATTATAGTTGAGTTTTGGCTTTTTTTTTTCACGCGCAGTTAAATTGTCAAACAGAAACTTTTCTCTCATACTTGAACGCGCCACTTGCTCCAGACTGCTCTGGTAGAGCCTGCTGCTAATACAAATCAAGGCATTATCCGCTTATGAGATGAAGCAAGAGTGAGTCATGGCAGCAATCTAGATCTTCCCTTCCTGCATCAGACGACCACTGTGGCTAATTTTCTTCACCAGTATAATCCAAATACTGCTCAAAACTCAAGAAGAATATTTCAGCTGAAGGATGAACGCTGGCACAGTGACGGTGAACAACAGTGACGGGTTGAAATTAGAACGATCATGCAGTTTCAGTGTAATTTCAAGCCAATCACTGACTCAGTGTTGGATCAGTAAAAAATGAGGACAGGCACTGAGGACAGCAGGATATCTGATATATGGGATAGTAGGAAGATGATGTCATCAGAACTAACAGAGACAGAGGTCTTTGGCCTGCTCCCAAAGAAACAGCCCCCCTCCTCTTCCTCCTCCTCCCCACCTTCCTCCTACTCCCATGCCTTTTACCATTTTTGCTTCCTCATCCTTAATCAAATGGGGGGGATTTTGTTTTTCATTCAAAGCAGAGCTCCATCACATTATCTAATCTGTTGCAGTGGCCTGCCACAGTCAATGTTCACAGTCTGAGGAGCTGAAGATGAGAAATTGGACCCAATACAAAAGCAGCATTTGAGTTCAGCTCAATGAAACGTTTGATGTCAATTTCCTGGGTAACTGGGTGAGTGAAAACCAAATTTTTCCATGAGAGCATTCAAGTTCAAGTCCCAGATGCTCCAATTTAAGTAGATAATCGAGAACTCAAATAAACAGATTTCCAAGAGAAATTCCTGTTTGTCCTTCATGAGACCTAGACACCTCAGCAGCTGGCTAGCACCTGCTGCCTTATGCTTCCTATTTCCTTTTTACCTCCACAAGCTCTGGAGAGACTGACATCACAGACCATCCTCTGGGCAAAAGGGCAGAGAGAGGTGATTCCTTTTTTAAAAAAGATTGTGTTAGACACCAGAGGATGAGTCAGGGCATCAGGTGTGGTGGAGGGTAGCGTCTGGGCGAGGCAGTTTAAGCTTGACTGCAGAGATATTCAAACATCTGTCCCCAGGCTTTGTGCACATAATTACTCAGAATTCCTGATTTTAAGCCCATCTTTGTTCAAATTAACAGAGTGATACTAAACCGAGTAGTTTATTTCTAATCCATGCCTTTATGTGTGACTATAAATAGACCTTTGCAGGGTTGTTAATGATTAAGTCCTACAATAAAACTTAATTCTCTAATTGCTGTAGTATCTGTTTGTAGAGTAGTAAATCTGTTTAATCTAATATTTATCAGTGAAAGTTTAACTTAACCCTGTTGGAGCTTAACAAACATCGATATGTGCTTCTTTATGTAGGTTAAAGGTCAAACTAATGTCAGCATCCTGAAACTCAATCTTAAAAATGGCAGCGGACTGAAAATTAGCGAATGCATTAAATCCTAATTATAAAAGCAATCCCCTCCACTCACCAACATGGAACAAATTACCTTTCAGACCCTTGGCAAAAATAAGCCATAATGTGAAATCCACCTAAACCATTGCAGTGGGAAAAATGAGGTCATCCAAAAAGGAAACCAAAGACTTGATTAGAATTTCAAATCTCCCCTCGAAGTGGGGCTTTCCACCTTCTGAGGAGGGGGACAGCAAGTGAGGGGGAGGAGAGAGGAAAAGGCCACTGAGGTTTCCTCCTCATAGATTGTGTGGAAACACTGGACAGATATCTGGTTGGGGATGAATCCTGAAAAGGTCACCTATAAATAGGGAAAGTTGAAAGACAGAAACTTTGTGGAAACATCAGATAATGACTGGGAGGACACTGAAATAGGATTATGGGTCAAATGAATTACAGATACACGGAGATGTACAAGTTCCTTTTGCATGACACAGAATAAAAGAGTTTCCATTCGTCCCAGAACAGTTCGAGGTGCAAATCAGCTAAAGGTGCAATCCCTCTTTCAGCCACCAGCAAATCTGAGGCTCGGTGATAAAGCATAAGCTCAGGGTAGTAAATTAACCGTGGCTTGGCTGTAAATGACTGTTTCCACTTGGCTCATAAAAAGTTTGCTATGTGCTTGTTTTGCTCAACACTGCATGTGCTTGGCCTGTTAAAATAATAAACTGTGCAATAGTATTATGGTAGAAAAAGGGGAAAGGCTACGGTGCAACAGGAAGCTTTTTAGATAGAATCACAATATGGCCATTTGTTCAGTCGATTCTAGTAAAGGTCAACGTGCAATCACTTATACACGCCCACTCTGTATGTACGCAACAAGTTATTGCTTGTCAAGCCTGCACGCTGTGAAACTACTATCAAGATGGAATTGCCCTCCTCGCTGGTTTCTCAGGTAATGTTCTGCTCCAGCACATGAGCCCACATGTTCCGGACTAAACCTCTCGTCTTGGCTCCCTTCCGAGCCCTCAGAGCACCTGTTGGGTGTCAGAGCTGGTGGGAGGAGGAGGAGGAGCACGCTGCTGTCCCTCTGCAGCCTGCTCCACCACATGGGACATTTGGTTTTCATTTCATGACTTCAACTTGTTGCTAACTCCGATCGCACAAAGCATAAGCAGATGGTTTGTGGTAATGGCTCCCTGGAATGGACTAGAAATAGTTATTAAAAAAGAGTATTAAAAAAATAATTTTTATCTTTAAACTTTCTACAGTGATAATGGGGGAATCCTCTGCATAAAACCTATCAATAATCAGGGGGTAAACATGTCCACCCTTGTGAGGACGTCAGTGGAAAATGGGCTTTGATAACAAGTACACAATGAGGTAACAGATGGATAAGAGCTCGGAGGGATTTTGACAAAAGAAACAAACAATGTGGTTGTTTTTTGAGGGAGATATTTAGTAACATCATGAGAGCCACTGTTGAGTCACCATTTCCACTTTGCCTGCAGATGACCTCTCCTACTGCACCAAGGGAACCACCTCCAAGGTATTCCGCTTCAATGTCTCGACCATGGAGAAGAACTCCACCAACTTGTTTCGGGCTGAATTTCGAGCCCTGCGGATCCCCAACCCCGTCGCCAAGAAAAACGAGCAGAGGATTGAGCTCTACCAGGTGCGTGAACTGACCGTTCATTTCCACTGTTAGTAAAGCGTAGGGGGGTAATACGCTTGATTTCTCTCAGAAGGCCTGTGTAGGTCAGCGAGAAAGATGAAAACATTTATATTAGGGTGTCCAACTCCCTCTCCTTTTTTCATGTGCTGATCATTATTCCATGTGCTTACATTCAAATGGATTCTACATTAGGACAAATTTAAGACCTTGCACAGCCGTTTTTAAGTAACCCTAGATTACATTTCGGCAGTTTCTCCTTTCCTAACTGTCAATCTCAAGGCAGTTGTCCGTCTTTGTTAGATCAAGTAATGCATTGAGCTTTCAACACGGGTTTATAGATCTGCACCTGCATGCGTGTGTTTATCAGCGTTTTTTGTGAAGCGTGTCAAAGCTCGCATGTGTTAGATGTCTGTGTGTGGGGTAGCGAGGATTTTTTTTCTCCAGATTCCTCATTAATCTCCCATGAGAGACTAGGAGTAATGATCAGGTTCCAACATTTCCTGCCAGGGAGACAAGCGTCTCCGGACTGCATACCGCCTCAGAGGCAAAGCTCTGGCCAGCGCTGAATACAGACTGTCAGACCCGCAGATTGTTTCCAGGGGCCTGAGAGGAGATAGAGGCAGAGTCACCCACTGGGGGAGTAAATGGAGCCTCTCGCTCACCCCCACACTTGAGGTGGGGGTGGACTGGAGCTGATTGGCAGAGGGCTGACGCTGGCAGGCCTCTGGCCCCTTTTTCCCACAGGAAGGCAGATTAGATGCCGACAATGTTCAGGAACCTGGTTATCCATAGCACTGCAGTGGGTCTAAGAGCTCCACTCGCCACCCAAACACACATATTTCTCAGTGCAGATAAACACCTTTGTTCAGGAGTGCTGGTGGACTGTCTGAAACACACTGTTCAAGGCAGATTTTAATTTCCTCTACCATCAGTTTTGTACATCTGGGGTCTCAATATAAGTTAGGACACGAATGCCTGCAGAGATACCAGGGGGCCTGCTCCTTGAACTGTGTGACACTGACACCAGGAGCCCAGCTAAACCCAAGATTGAACTGCTGATGTGAAGGACAGCCAGGTTCTCATTGGCAGAAGGGTAATACACAGGCATTAACTTGCAAAATGGGGATATCAACACAGGGAGTCACTTTTTCCATGAAGAGTAGACATTTGGCCCAAGGCATCCCGGAGAGTCTGGCTCAAACAGACAGCTCTGGTTCTGTGTCAGTGTGTTTGTGCATGCACGAGAGTTTATTGCAGCTGGGTCACATTTTCAACTTTTCCTCGCAGATCCTCCAGAAAGATGACCCCAAAGCCAAACAGCGTTACATCGGGGGCAAGAACGTCCTGACCAAGGGGACGGCTGAATGGGTGTCGTTTGATGTTACCGAGACAGTGAGGGAGTGGCTAATGTACCGACGTGAGTGAGGACACCTCAGATTTTCCTTGTATCACATATCCTGCCAAAGGGGACAAGTTCATTTAAAATGAAGGATTTTTCCTCGGGGAAAAATGTCAGCTCCCACATCCTTCTTCTTCTTCTCTGGTTTCCCTTCAGAGACCAATCTTGGCCTGGAGATCAGTGTCCATTGTCCCTGCCATACTTTCAGGCCTAACGGTGACATTATCGAGAATGCCAACGAGGTGCTGGAGGTCAAGTTCAAAGGTGAGACTGCGTTTCTCTGTGATGGGACCAAGTGAGATGGTTTGAGTCTTATTATGGGCCTGTTATAGTTAACATTTAAAAAAGTATCAAATAAGTGTAAAAAAACAACATTGCCAAGGATTAAAACTCATTTATATAGCTCAAGAAAAGGTGTGTCAAGATTCTCAGTCGGTTTGACATCCCTGATTGGTTACTTAGGGTTAGATCTATTAGAAAGTTGATATGACTCTGTATGCACAGTAAATACATAGCTAACCTGAGCAGCTGTCAAGTTCGGCTTACCACAAAGACAGGAAACAAAGACTAGCAACGCTCTGTCGAAAGACCAAAAGCTCACAAATTAACAAAATAAAAGTTTGATTTAAAAAACCGAAATGTAAAAACGACAAGGCCACTATTTCTTGGCAGATTGTGTTTCCACTGGACAGAGCCAGGCTATCGTTTCCCTTCTGTTTTGAGTCTCAACGTTAAGCTAAACCAACTGGTTGCTAGCTTTAGTCTTGTATAAGCACACATGAGAGTGGTATCGATAGTCTCGTGTAACTCTTACACAGAAAGCAAATAAGCGTATTTCCTACAATTTCAAATGTTCCCTTTTCCAAGATTTATTGTGTCTGTGGTTGCGTGGTCTGTGTTTGGTCAGAATTAGGCCTCTGCTTTTGATCTCTCATAGTGAAAAGATGTTCTGCCAGTTTGTGTTTACGATCAAGAGCCAGATAACAATTCAGTTTGTTTGAAATGTTTGATTTGTGTAATGTCCCAGATATGCATCTATTGTTTGTTGAAATATTGGGTTTATTTTGATTAGTGCTGGTTTCAGGGTAATTTGTATCAGTAGGTTAAATAACATACACATTGATATAGTACTTTTCTAGTCTTAATGAACTCTCAGAGCACTTAACACTACAGGTCACATTCATCCATTCATCTCTCACACACACTTCATGGTGTGTAATGTGGGTTTCAGTATCTTGCCCTGGAACAGTTTTAATGGATTGGTCCACCAACCTTAAAACGAGTGATCGGATCACAGGCCACATTAAGGATGCTTTTAGGTGGGTTCAGACCTGTAATTAGAGCTGACCACTTGTGATTGGATCACTCAGGCTGGATGTTAATACCAGGTCTGAACGGGGGGGGCTCAGATTAGTGGACGACCCACTGTCCCTCCTGAGCAGTAGCTGCTCACAGCCAGTCGATAGAACAGGCTCTGTTTGGGTTAAGGTTTTAGTTTCAATGTCTGTTTTAGATGTTTCCCAAAAAAAAGTGTATAATGTTTGCATATATATAATTACGTTTTGGGTAGTGGAATTTGGCACGTAATGGTTGGTCATTATTTATAGTCCTACAAATCTGCCTATACAGGAAGCTGTATCTGGTGATGCAGTCTTGGCAGAGTTGACTTTAGACTGTGGATTGGATGAAAGTCCAGATATTTTAGATTAAAATGTGTCTCTTTGGGATATTTTTCTTAATTTGAATGAAGGCCCAATGCACCTTCTATTTTATTCATTGAATAAATTCACCTGAGGCCTATTTCTGAGTACCAGTTAGTCATTGTGCAGTGTCTGTTCTCCAATAATGTTTTCTGGGATGACTAAGAATATGATTATAATAGAATAAAACTCACACTACTCACATTATTACACCGATCTATAAAAAGCTTTAGTCCAGTCATCAGGCATGTTCCTCCAGCAGCGAGCTTTGACGTCTTTTTGTTCAAATAATGGGATTTCTTTGTGAGAGGAAGAGAGAGACAGAGCATGGGAATACAATTGATCTGGTATCTCACTTAGCGCTGGAGCCCCGGGCCCTCGGTCCTGGGAACACTCCCGACTGGCTTGGCCACAAGGAATGTGCTGCCACGGTGCTCAGACGTTTGGCCCTGACTTAAAGAGGGGCGTACATATTCACCAGCAGCATCTCTCCTGAGATATGCACTGCTTAAGCTATCAGGGGCAGATTGGATGAGCAGACGCAGGCCCAGGGGGGAGAATGGAGGAAAGGAGGGAGTTCGAGGGACCAGTGTTAAATAAAGAGAAGGAAGAGAAGTGAGCCAGAAATGAACAAAGCCTGGCCTGGAGATTACAGTACCCTTATGTAAAACTGTCCACACTGATTAGAGTGAGGTTTTGGTTCTTGCCCAGGCATCTTTACAACTCATAACAAAGCTTCAGTATCTTTGTGCCATTTCTTTTCTCTGCTTCCCCCGGACTAACTGGACTTACTGACGTGCCTCTGCAGGTATTGAGGCCGAATATGACGACCTGAGCCGTACAAAAAAACAAAAGGAGCCGCTCCACCCTCACCTCATCCTCATGATGCTCCCGCCCCACAGGCTGGACGCCCAGTCCTCATCCCGCAGGCGCAAGCGGGCACTTGACACCAATTACTGCTTCAAGTAAGGCACATTTCCTCATCCTGGAAAATGTTAAGCACTGTTGGACTATTTTCATCGTCTTCAACTTTCCAAAATATTTTCTCTGGCTGCACCTGCTCTGTCAGTTTTGGAGATTTGACCGCTGCGTTAGCTGAGATATTGCAAGTATATATGGCAGCTATTTTACCTTGAAGGGGGTGACATTTCATTGTCGAGTAGCAGCTGAGGCGTTATGCAATGGAAATAGCAGCTGCCACTTATCACAAACACATGGAAGCTGAGGGCACGGGCACAGAATGCATAGAATAAGCTTGTTAATCACAGAGACGAGCATTACACAGGTATAAGCTGATACAAGTTGGGATCTGTCCCAGTACTATAAACCTCCTCTTAACACGCCGTCTACTCGGCTCTGGATTTCCGCCGTCAGGCTGACAGACAGCACCTAAGACACCTGGGCCGACTCCAAGAGGGAAAATAAGGGCACACCTAAGAGTGGAATTTCTGAACTTCTCTCTCATCTCTGGCTTAGAGGCCATAAGGAGGAAAATGTATACAACTCTGAAAATTGTGAATTAATGTGAAATAAAAATCCTAATCCTCACTGTCCTCTCTTGTCTGCAGCAATTATGAGGAGAACTGCTGCGTGAGACAACTATATATTAATTTCCGGCAGGATTTGGGCTGGAGGTGGATCCATCAGCCTGAAGGGTACTATGCCAACTTCTGCTCTGGTCCCTGTCCTTACCTACGCAGTGCGGACACCACCCACAGCTCGGTGAGACAAAGTGTCACAACAGATAAGTTAACCCATGCACCTGTCTGCCACATGCGTTTGCTGATCCCTGTCTCCTTGTTTTAGCTGCTGAGCCTCTACAACACCTTGAACCCCGAAGCGTCCGCCTCGCCCTGCTGTGTTCCTCAGGACTTGGAGCCCCTCACCATCCTCTACTACGTGGGTCGCTCCCCTAAAGTCGAGCAGCTCTCCAACATGGTTGTCAAGTCCTGCAAGTGCAGCTAAACGTCAGAGCTTCAGGGCCTGTCGAGAGCCACGGGATGTGACGGCTCCCAGCACTACTCAGGAGCAGGTATGAGGGGTTAGAGGGGGGCAGCACGTGCTCCATGAGCGCCTCTTCCCTCTGCTTCAGCTTTTACCCTGAGCTCTCTCACGAAAAAACAAAGACGCAGTCCGCCACTCTGCTCACAATCATTGGCAGCATTTACCTAAAAGACTTCGTCAAACACCACTTCACTAACAGCGCTCTCAAACCCATCAGACCTCTTATTGACCTTCAACAATCGCCTTTCGACATCAGCGTTTGTCATGTTTTTTTTCTTTTTTCGTATTCCAGCATTTTGAACAGCCTTTACCTCAGTGTTACGTGACATTGACAACCGACAACAGAGGAACAGTAATTGGTTCTGCATTCTCAAGGACATCAAATAATAGCAGTAAAAAAAAAAAAGACAAAAAAATGAGTGAGAATGCAGACTGAACTCAGCAGGACAGGAGCAAGTCAAAGAGTGAAAATAGAAACACACGACTGTTTGTTGAGAGCAAACAGATCCTTGGGCTCTGACTTACAGGACAACTTCGAATGTCCAAGCTGGAAACTGACGCCGTTGCACACCACAGCTCCAGACACTGTTCATTTAGGATTAAATGCTGTTCAATGAAAATGATCTTTTGGGAAAAAAAAAAAAAAAAAAAAAAACATGCTGGAAACCAACCTTTATTTCAAAGTAGTTTTTCCATGGTTATGTTTACCTCTGTAATGCAACAGGATGGAGATTCCAGGGATTGTTTTGTTTTAAAGTGAAGCCTTTTTGTTGTATGAGACAATGTACGTCACTAAGTGAACACTTAACTAGATCACGAACTGTAAATGATTTTCTTATTACTCTTGGAAACACTTTTTTTTATTAAAAATGAACAGTTGGATAGAATCGTTCTATTTTTGTTTATTGTTGAGTTTTTATGTATTATTCGGAGAACTTCATTTTAAAGGGTAGTAGAGTAAATTTAGACACAGCCCTTCCAGTGATTGACAACTTCCAGTGTACAGTAAATTTGGTGAACAAATACATTTACTGACATGATCAGAATGTTTCAATGTTTTATGTTTTCATGTCAATAACTATGTTTACATGGACACTAATATTCTGATATTAACCTGATTAAGACAAAAGTCTGAAGAAGACACAGTCATGTAAAAAGCATTTTCTGATTACCTTAACCTCAGTATTCTGACCTTATTCACATTATGTTGGAGTTTTCACAGCATTTTGTACATGTACAGCTGCTACCAACTGATGGACGACACATGCTCTGGGTGTAAAGAAGATGGAGGAATAAAGAGTTGTAGCTTTAGCAAAATTAGAAAAAAAACACATTTAAAACTGGCGGAATAACATTGGATGCTATGATATAGTGGACATAATAACGTAGATTGTAATTGGGCATGTAAACAGCAATATGAATGTTCTATTAGTAACCTATGCAAACACCATATTTGAAATATCATTGAAATAAGGTCAATAATAAGATTATTGGTGTCCAGGTAAACATACATTATGTTTCTTGCTACAAACTGCTTAAATGTCTCCAACAAAATATCACATTTCCATGCACATGTGGACAATTGTAAACAATCAGGAACAAAACAGATTCAAATATCAGACTGTAAAACAATCTTGTATCACCACAGATTACACACGTTGGATTCTAATGTTGGATTCTTGTAATACAGTGGTAATAAATCCACAACATGAAGTTTCACATCAATCACGACAAAAAAAAATCCAATACCATCAATTCTAATAAAACCAGTTCTGCTGCATTGAAAACTACAATCTGTGCAAAACCTCTCTGATAATAGTAATCAGTTGATATGATAAATACATGCATGAAATTCAAGTATTTCTGAGGTCATCATAAACATGAATCTATTGATATATAACAGAGTTGTATTATTCTTTTTACATGTCCTGAGTGAACTCCCCAAAAAACACTAAATATCTGCTGGTGCAGCATTAACCTTCATTACAAGCAAGGCTATGCATAACCAAGATTCCTCTCTATGTTATGCTTTCAGCTACAGAAGTGGCCAAGACGACCTTTTGATGGACAATGTACAATAAATACGAACTGATGCAATAACAATAATTTACTTATTATCCAAACATAATCAATTTGGTCCATCCAAGGAAAACTACATCAACAATTTACAGGGACAATCACAAGCTCACAGTATTATCATGCTGGTAAACATGGAGCAAGGCAGGGAGCAATTGTGTCTTAGCTCTAACAATCGGAATTTCCCTTTCAAGCCCACGAGCAAAGGATGCTCTACTTTAACACATCCCTCGACAATGGCCACAGAATCTGATTTGGCAACTCCTCCAACAAGGGCCTAAGACCAGAAGCCACGCATGAAAGCAGCTTCTCTGTGTGCTCACCAGTAATGGCAGCAAGATGAGAAGCTGCTCAGGCGATCCCTTTGCTACAAAAAAAACATTTATAACCAAAACCCCCATCTCATCTGTCTGAATTACATTTTAGGGGGAAAACTGTCTTCTTGAATGGTTCGCGGTGCACTGAATGAGCAAAAAACGAAATGTTGAATCCTGTTGTTAAAATACCAAAAGGGCTCAAAGAACCATCTGCTGACGTCTATCTGTCAATGAAATCGTTCTGTGGCATCAGTAGCGTGGAGGGAATGAGGGCGGGCAACTGTTAGGATATCGACTGAGTGCAGCCAATGGGTGTGATAGGAGGGGGAGGGGGGGTGCGGGCACGGAAAAGGCCATCTGATGTTATGCTGCGCAATAAAATCCCAACCTGCGTCAAAGCTGGGAATTCCTGGCCTGGCAGACTGTCTGCTCGCATTTCTGTGGCTGTATCACCGAGAAATTAATAGGACCCTGTTCGATGTCTGGCATGCTTTCATCTGTTGCTGTTGTCCTCTCCCAGAATACACCTCTGGCGAGGATGTAGTTACATGCAGAAGCACCTGTCAGGCCGGCAGTGCGGCAGGACATGCCTCTGGTCGCCTTCGTGTCATCTGTGACTTGGCTCCTCGCCTTGGAGCAGCTTGCGGTACGCAGACAGACCTGGAGAGCAACACATGAGAGAAAAGTTAGTGCCAGAGGTAGAAAGGCAGTTGAACGTTTTCCTCGTGTGTACACAGGGGTGTTTATGTCAAACCTTAAAGAGTTTTTCTGCAGATGAGCCAACTAAAACCCTCCTGGTAAAGCTTCTGTTGATATTTTCAGTTATTCACGGTCAAGGCGGTTACCAGCATATCTGAGAACAGCCAGCTCAGTGCTTCGACTTTAGTGTGACGGACCCCCGCACTCTCAGCCCGCTCGCCCCTCATCCTATCGATTGGCACACGTCCAGGCATCCAGTAGAAAAGGCATTCCAAGTACAGTCAGCGCTGCCGTGTTTGTGCTCCCAAACAGTATTCCCTTTCATTCCCTCTCTGCACACTCTGTTTATTTTGGTGCTCTTTTACACTGCGGAGCCCGACTGAGCTGGAAAAGGAAAACATCTCCCCTACTTCCAATCTGATGACATGGCTGCTGGAAGCGGCTTCCTCTAACTCAGCAAAAGACAGATAAAGGGACAATGCTGCCTCTATCGTACCTCACTCCAAATGTCATGTGGAACAAAAACTTTTCATTCAGTGGCAAATTAACCCAAAAAGTCTTATAAATACTTTTTTCAAGGACGTAATTCACACAGAAAAAGTGTGTGAAAGTAGCTCAAATCAAATGGAGCCATCTTTCCTTGTCTTCCCAACACGCTATCATGCAGTTTTACTTTGATAGAGCCCGACGCTAACCGCCCTAACATGATCAGACTCCCATTAAGTGCAACATTCATTTCCTTCTCGAACTATTGCAATAAATCTCCTCACAGTCCCCAACTGTGAAGCACCAAGGACATCGAGAAAACTTCAAGGCGAGGACCGTAAAACATGTGGTGGAAATAATCCGGAGTTTTTAAACTCTGATATGGTCGTCGTCAAAATCCTTGCCTCATCTCGTGTCCGAACATGAACACATCAGTAGAAGAAGTCAAAGAAAAGGGGCGACGGGGTGAGCGAGCAGGAAAAGGTTTCAGAGGATGAAGGGAGAGTTGAGTTAAGAGAGTGCACAGGAGAGAGATAAAGGGGATGTTTGATTTATGACGGTTGACAGCTGATCATAGAGAATGCTCTCCATTTGGACTCGCTCTATACTCCCTGTCAGAGTCAATCAGGGCAGCTCAGTCATCTCGATACAAAGGTACACTGGGCAGCCAGAAAGACCTGACGCACTCCTAAGCCCCCACAAAGGCTGTGCCCCTTCTAATAACACCCCCACCCTCCCGAAGCACCACACAGAGTCTCTGTGTTACTTTCTCGATGCATGGGTAAACTGGCCTTGCTGACTGGTTTTTGGTGCTTGTGAGTCTTTTCTCGGATCAGACTTTATTTTTCTTTTTTTTTTTGAAGGCAAAAGAGTGAGGCATCTCCCCCACCCTTTGCTCCCTGAACGACGGAAAAAATGCATTCATGAAATTCAGAAGCTGCTCCCAACGGATCCTATTACAGTAATTGATGAGTTTGTAAGATGTTTGTTAACTTAAGCCAGCCTTCATAGTTCGGGGGGGAAAGAGGGAGAATGAAAAAGAAATGTTCTGGTCGCAGACACGCGCATACTTTTTTTAGGGGGGGAACTACTGTATTTTTCCAACTCCCTGATCTCTGGGACTGTGACACTCGCATGGTGTGATGAATGGTATGATCTGCTAATGCTAAGGTACAGTATAGGTCTCTGGAAAATGCCCCCTGATCAGACAAACAGATGTGTCCGTAAGCACAAACTGCTTAATATCACTGTTACTGCAATGAGCTCGACACTTTGCTCAGGATGGAAAGAGCTGTGGAAACAGGGCAGAGTGACAGGGGCACACGTGAGCGCGTGAAACCCACAAGTGCGCAGAGAGGCTGCAGAGCTCCGTTTTCTTTCCCTTGCTGTGATTTCTGGGGTCTACAACTGGACAGACGGTTTTGGCGGAAGGTCAGTAATTACGACTGCATAGGAATGGCCGACAGATGGGAATGCCTAAACTGTTCCCATCACTGGATCTCATTACAAAAGAGATTTTATCACTGTTACGCATCTTTATCCTACAGCAGTGATCTGACCTTGAGTCTTGGAGACATGACTTGGAGAAAAACAACACTGTAAAGTTTGTTTATATCCACTCAGTTCTGGTAACTTTAACTCTACTAACTCCAAACAGGGTACAACACAAGTCATTGGAACTGTGATCAACACAATTAGTGCAGTGCCCGTTCTAAACGTGCTTGTTTGGAATGAGCTGTTTGCTGGGCCTGCTGGTTGCAGCTTTCTTTCTGACACTATAAAAATGATTGTGCCACAGCAAAGATCGACGTCTGGACTGTCACAGACTCCTGAAGCTGCACCACTGCTGCTCCTCAAAGAACTGTTCACCTGCTTATTCAAAGTTAGGTGACGCTCGACTCAGCACGCAGAACCTCGAACTGGAGAATCAGCTGTTGTTGCTGTTTTCTTGAATGGGCCAGTTGTCGTGAACCCACTGTTGTCGTGATCATCACTTACATTGATGAGTTCCACCGCTGGTACAGCACACTGATCGCATGTTAATTTAAATGCATTATTATTAAGCACCAAATGAGACACTGCACTTCCTTGAGCCCTTAACAATACAAACACGAAGAGTGAAACCGATAAGACGACCAATTTTTTGGGATATGCCAGCCACAGGCAGAAATTTCTGGAATTAGTAGATGGATTATTATTTGGATAAAAAGTTATCTTTTACTGTGTGCTATATTTACACATCCTGCACTGAGCATGCGGGAGCTGTGTAAAGATATCCAGTGGTGTTTATCAGTCCTCCATGGGGAATGTCCACTATGCTTGGTTGAAATCACTGACACTGGCATTGAAAGGGCATAATTCCTCCTGCCCGCACAGTACAACCACCAAATGGACCAACTTACAGTACGATAATGTACTGAGCACGTGCGACACTGCAGCAACAGACCCACCTGTTTTACCGCGGATGGCTTCGTAGACCATGTGCTGGCCGCTGGTCGCGGTTCCGCTGGCTGAACTCTCCGAGGACGTCTGCCTGTGAATCAGACACAAGAAGAGTGTGAAGTGAAGACCGAGTTTTCCACGACAGGGTAATATGGTGACAAATCGGATTTGAAAGACACTGCTTATCTCCACAGGCCTGGACCCAGCTTCTGGGAAATCTCACTGGTTTGCTCCAAATGTATTGTTCTGCATGGAGCTAAATATCCAAACAAATATATAAAGATGATTGTTTTTGACAACTAGTGATTTGTGCGCATGATGAGTCATTGTGTCTGTGTGTGGGTGTGCAGTCAGAGGAGACTGGTGGGGGTTAAGTGTTTACTGAGTGCCTCCCATGAGCTATTGTGACAAGAAGGAGGCAAATTCCTGCTCCTTGTCCTTGGTGATGTGATTTTCACATTGGCAGGATTATTGTGGTGATGATGTGGAACTGCAATCACAAGCACACACAGTCTCTCTCATGGGGTGAATAGTGAATACAGTTGTGTCATGTATACCCTTTATATTAAAGTCAAAGAGCTCCATACAGAAGGTTTGAGATCATAGAAAACAGATTAGACAGCCTCTTGGACATAATCAGAGCAAATAGTGTTTTCACATGAAAAAATCATTAAATGGACCATTGAGGCGTGGAGCAGGAGCAGACACGTCTGTAACCTTATACATTAAATCAGTTAAGCATTTTTAGGGCGAACAATAAATAAAGCTTAGCTGGCATTAACCTCTCGCCCCATAACAGCAGCTTGCCAAAGGAGCATTAACACGGTAATGAGGGTACACACTACCTCCTTGTAAGGGGCTGCACAGTTGTTCTTTCATACCATTACACAACCACAAATAGAAGTGGCCCACTTTAAGCATGGCATACCTCGACAGGAAGTAACCCCTTTCATATTGAGAGAGAGAGAGAGAGAGAGCAAGTGAGCGAGAAACTTGACCTCGGGGTTCTTCACATCACTTTCTTTGTCAACAGTCTCTCGCTCCGTCACTTCAAGAGCCAGAAATATTGGAGGTGAATCA